GAGCAGCCTGGTTTAATCCTCTCCAAGATGAATCTGTTTGTTTTCTTGGCAGTCCATGGTACATTCAATACTCTTCTCCAGCACCACAGCTCAAAGGTGTCAATTAATAATAATTAAAAAATTTAAAAAGTTTCAAGTTTTATCGCTGGCAACTTGCTAGGATTGCTTTGTTTAATTTTTTGAAAATAGCTTCCAAATTCATGTTCAATGCCATCGAATCAGAACCTCTCATAGCTGACCCACACGGTTAGAACTTGAACATTCTTTTTCCCTTGGAACGGCAAGTCATATTTGAGCCGCTTAAGAAGCTCCACCTTTGAATTAATAGCACAACGCCCTGGAGCTGACCCACCAGCGAGTTTTCAAAGCAGGAGGAGATTAATTAAGTAATAACCAACAAAACCTTAGCGGAGAAAGAGTGAGTATCTCTTTAAATCGTGAGTCTATGACTTGGTTTGCCCAAGTTTAGTCCCGGAAGTTCCCTTCGTTCCGGAAGTTCCTTCAATCTTTGCGCTAAGTTCGTTTCATTGACTGTCTAGCATCCTTTTCCCAGCCAGTTCCAGGTAAGTGCTGCGCTTGGGGTTTGCAATGAATTTTCAACTTTTCGCTTTAAATTGTCTGAATATTTGCGAGCACTCTTTCTCTCTTCGATCTTTTATGTGACTCTTTCCATCTTCTGTCTGATTTGAGGATTTCGTGATTCCCCCCTTGGACTGGTTGTTTTTTTTTGGGGGGGGGGGGCATATTCTTTGGCCCGTTGATTCGGCCTTGCTGTGGCCGAGTCTGTCACATGCAAAGAAAGTCCCCGATATTTTTCTCTCCAGATTTCCTGAGAGTTCTCTACTATCGGACGCAAATCTGGGAACATTTGCTAGAATGTTCACCCCCGATTTGCCGCTAGAAATCCCAGATTTTTACTGTAAGAAACACCAGAAACCGCTCCAGTTATTCTGCGCGGATGACCAACTCACGCTTTGTGACAAATGCACCTTGGAACATAAAGACCACATGATGTACGGCGTGGAAGAGGCTGCTGAGAATTACAGGGTAAGTTTTATGTAGATTCTGCCTTTGGTGAACTGTTGTTATTTATCTTCGAATCGGAACTGACCCTCCAGCGGGTTTTCAGAAGCAGTTAATGAAAAGCGAGATGACTTGCCGTTTTTCTCTCCTGGAACAAGCTCGTGGATTCACACCGCGTGTCGTGGGGATTACAATGCAACTTCTTACCTCTAGGCCACCAAAGCACCCTGATAAGAATAAGGAATTATTCCCAAAGACTTGAATCCATCAATTTGTTCTGCAGGAGAAAGATGGAAAATTTCCTTCCCTGTGATTTATTGTATCTGAAAACCCAGCTTTGGGTGGGTTCAGACTGTAGAACGTACATAACAAAAATAATCCATCAAAACTCCCTGGTGTCACCATGGGTCAGAATCAAATAATGGGAGACTAGTTATTACTGGTTTGTTCATTTTTTATTGACCTTTCCATTGTTTTAAAACCATGCATTTACATGGAATTCTGTGTTATACTTTTCTGCAGAAGTTATGTCAAGCAGTACAAAACGAGTTAAGGAAGAAACTTGAAATAACTAAAAGCATATTGTCTGATGATCAAGAAAGAGTGGTGATGGTTCAGGTTGGTATTTACCTTGTAAGTTGGGTTACAGTTTTCCTATAATCTCAGGAATTAAGATAAAATCAAAAGACAAGTAACAAATCAGAGAAAATATTTGGAATCCATAGAACTTAAAAGTAGTAATTTCTTAAAGAGAAATAAGAGTTCATAAATCAATAAAGAAAACCCTAGATTCCATAGGAAACTTATCAAAGAAATGAGTTCACAGAAAAGAAATTGCAAATCTCTGTTTAACATATGAAGAGATCTTAAACTTTGCTCGTTGAGAAATTTTGCTCATGGAGGAAATACAAATTTATAATATTAAATGATTAATGAGTTGGCATTTGCAAAACCTGATTGGCAAAGATCAAAAGAATTGATACAATTTACAGCAGTGATTTGGGAAAATTAACACCTAATTGGTATTTTTAGTGCATTTAAAAATCTTTGAGGGGCTCTGGTGGTGGTGTAGTCTAAAATGTTGGACTCTTACTGCTCCACAAAAGACCCTGAGCCCCATGTGTCTCCTGCAGTTTAAGATTTGCCAGAGGCTAGGGTGGTGGTAAGCAGGTGGGGAGAAGATGGGCGGGGTCATTTTCCACTAAGATTTACAGCCTCAGTAACCAGGTGGAGTATAACTTCTGACTCAACAGCAGTGTGTGTGAAATGATAAATTGTTGAAGCTGTGCAATCTTTTCTCATGCAGTTAACTGCCTCTGAAAACCAGTTGGAGGGTCAGCGATGGGTCTCTTTTGACTTGATGGCATATAACAACAAAGGAATTTGAGAACGGCTTTCAAAATTGATTTCACTTTGCATTTCAAATACTTTGTGTTCTACTCCTTTTCTATGTTAAGTAGCTTAGGTTTTTAATGTTGAGTTTTTATATTGGGGTTGTAGGAAGGAGAATTGCCTAATTGTGGCAGTTTTTTCTTTCCAACTATTTCTGTTTTTCATTGAATACTCAACAAACATTGAGGTCCTGCTGTTTGTCAGAGATTTTATCATGCTAAGTGACTGCAGTAGGAAAAGAAATCCACCCTAGTCTGCCTTTTTTTAGAACTTTATATTTGAATAAAGTACAATATGTTACATAGTAAATAGGAGACTCTGGGTAGCACAGATGGGTAAGCCCTTGGTTATTAACTGAAAAGTTGGCAGTTCAGACTTGTTCCAAAAGTTGTTAGGTGCCGTCAAGTCTAGTACTCATAGTAATTCTATGAACAAAAGATCTGAACGCTGTTCTGTCCTGCACCATCCTCTCACTTCCTGACATATAAGAGCCCATTGCAACAGTCACTTTGTCAATCCACTTGGTTGAGAGTCTTTCTCTCCTTCACCAATCCTCTACCCTTCTCTAAGGAAAAACACATCCTAGCAACATGCCCCAAAGTATGTGAGGCGAAGCCTCATCATTCTTGTCTCCAAAGAGGACTCCTGCTGCATCCTCTTGGCAGCCTTGACAATTATAGAGCATAGTTCTGTTTTTCTGAAGTTGCCATGAGTTTAAATCAGTAAATCAACTTGACATTAAGAAAATATAAATAGTAGGTTATTTTTATTTTAATTTTCTTTTATTTTTTAAAAAGACCAGAAAATATGTTGGGGTATGTTGTTGTTGTTATATGTCATCAAGTCGCCTGCAACTCATAGTGACTGTATGTACAACAGCCCTAAACACTGCTCTGTCCTATCCCCATCTCACTGCCTCAGACACACATACCCCCATTACCCCAGTCACTGAATCAATCCACCTCATAGAGGGTCTTCCTCTCCTGGGCTGTCCCTCCACCCTCCTTACAACATGTCCAAAGTATGTCAGATGAAGCGTCTGAATCCTTGCCTCCAAGGAGCAGCCTGGTTTAACCCTCTCTAGGATGAACCTGGGGTATACATTTGAATAAGGTAAGCAGAACTTTGCCATTCAGAAGTGATATTTGATAAAAGATTCAAGGAAATGAGGAATAAAGTAATTCATTCTTGACAAAAAACATTCTAGCAGAAAAGAGGGTCTTAGGACTTGTGTGCATTGTGGTTGGGGCTGAGTGTAGGAGGAATAGACTAATAGATAATGACATTAAAAGATGAAGGGGCCTAATCATGGTCTTCTCTGTCACTTGGCTATGCATCTGAGAGCTGGATAATAAATAAGGATGACAAAAGAAGAATTTATGCCTTAGAACTGTGGTGTTGGAAGAGTAATCTGTATCCCATAGACTACCAAAAGAACAAACCTGTATCTTGGGGAGGCTGCAACCAGAGTGCTCCTTGGAAGCAAAGATGATAAAGCTTCATCTCACTTCCTTTGGGCATGTTGCTAGGAGAGGTTATTCCTTGAAGAGGAACATCATGCTTGGGAAGGTGGAGGGATGGCAAAGGAAAGGAAGACCCTCAAACAAGTGGGCTGACACAGTGACTACACAGTGACTGGCACAAGGTTCAAATCTCACAGAGTCTCTTTGAGTTGTCCTTACCTTTGCAACACCTAAGCACCACCACAACAAACAACAGTAATATAGGACAGACATAAAAAAATACACAAACTCACTTTTGCCAAATTGGTTTCTACTTACGTCAGCTCTGTAAGTCAGAGTAAAATAGTCCCATGGTGCCATAAATATTTATGGAAGCCAACTTCCATATCTTTGCCCATAGAGTGGTAGCTAGTAGGCTTGAACCTCTTGACCTTTTAGTTCACAGATGAGTGTTTTAATCGTTGTGTGCCTATGGAAAGGTAAAAGTAAAGGTAGAGAGACCTATAATAATGCAGAAAAAATTGAAAATGACCTGGAAGGTCAGTAGTAGAGTTGGTGAGAAGTGACATTTTAAATTTATCTTGATTCAAAAGTGTCTTGTGAGATTGTCACCTCTAAACTACTTCCAAATGTATACTCCTAACCCCGACTTCTCAATGATAGGTATCCCTTTCAAAATTTCTACTTGATCTTTCTCCTTTGATATCTTAATTATTTATCAAGTGAAACCTATCTGTGGAAATGATAATGTTGGAGAGCCTCTAAGTTTATGGAGAAAGAGAATCACCCAGTATTCTTTATGAGGAAGAAGTCAAACATACTTCTAACCTTTTTCTGAATTTTATACTCAAAATTAAATAATATTTATTAAAAGGAAGTTAAGAGAATTCAGAACCAGATAAAACAGGTTACAACTTAATAAAAATCAAGAAGCCGGTAAATAAAACCTTTCTTTGATGGACATTCCTCTCTGTTTCCTGAGGAAGAACTTCTCTCAGCCCCTGCCCCTCAGAGGCCCTTGCCTGGCCTCTATCCTGGTTGGGCAGGTATTAGAGAACTCTACTTCCCTTGAAAAGTAGCCAGAGGCACCACATTGCACCAGCAAGCCTCCTGGCTAAAGGCACTCAGTTCTTGTTCCATGGGTCAGTGAACCTAGATCCTATTGATAAGTGCCTGAAATATTCCACTCTGTAGTCAAGCCTCCTGACCAAAGACTCTACTTACGGCTTTTCTTCATAGTGGTGAGGACCCCTCTCCATGTCTGGGACTGGTTCCCTTTAAGCATATAAGGATGCAAAACCAACCAATCCCCTTGGTAGGGTTCCATATACCTTCTTATGTGCATGGTCAAATCCCACAAGAATGCTCTGCAGCTTATTTGCATTTATCAGTAAGTTTTCTAATTCCTAAGCCCCAAGCACCATATTTGCATTGCACCACCCAGTCATTGTGTGAGAGTTAACTACAAGGCCATATTAAGTAACTGATTGTACCACCATTACCAGAAATGAGCTCATGTACTCCCAACCTTTATTCCATAGCTTTCTTTTCTGTTTTGTCAACTCCATTCATCCAGTTGCCTTCTCTAATACCAGACTTTTCATCTTTGACTCCTTTCTTAACACTCATGTTGAAAGCATCAGCAGATTTTATTGATGATGCCTTCCAGCTTTCCTAATATCCTTAGTACTCTTTGACATTGTAACTTGCTTAGTTTTTTAGGTCAATTGCCATTCTTTTTCTGTATTCCTTGTTATAAGATTATCTTGATGCCGTGGATAATCGTCACTTCAGAATTCACTATTCTTTGGGCTTATGCTTTTATTTTTATGTTTTATATTTCCTTTGTGTCTTTCTTGAAGTTAAAAATGGAAAGATGGTAAATATTTGTGGTCATCCTGTCATGTCTAACCTGAACCCTCTCATGTCCATATCTATGATGAAGAAAGATGAACATAATTTCAAAGAGATGATCGAATCAGAATACAGGATAAGGTTCCGGTTGTTAAAAGAAGAGAATAAGGTGAATGACCTGAGACCACCAGGGTGCTTGTTTGGCCTAAAGATGAAAGAAACCAATTTGCATCAACCAGTGAGATTTGCAACGGAGCTCGAGGAGCAGTTCCAGGAGATACTACAGGTAAGGTGTTGAAAACCACTTCCTCATATTATTTGGGAAGGGAAAGAAGAGTTCAGTATTTGGGCCATTTTCAAATAAGACCTTTAATGACAATAACACATGTGTTAAAATAATGTATTTGTTTACAGAGGAATGCAGTTTCTCAGTTTATCTTGCTGATAGTCATCCATGTGCATAAAAAGACATATGGATAAAGGTGTTAACACTGTAAACTGTCAGTACATGATTTCAGAGGTAGTTGTTAACACCAGATTAATGGATTGATCTATGTTAGCAATTCCCTACTTCCTAGGTGATCTTGGACAATTTGTATAATCTCTGGCTTCATTTCCTTAATTGTGAAACAATGGTGATAAGGGCATCTAGTCCATGTAATTGTATGGATTGAGTAAGATAGTACATGTACTTGTACTGGTAATAAGAGATTAGGCACAACTTGTAATCATCATGAGGACTCATGGAATAAATTGTTGCAAAGAATGTAGTAGAAGACTCTTGAACATTTAAAAGAGGAAATTTAATTTTTGTGTAGAGATAAGTATTCTCTAAGAATATGTAAGCAAATTCTCAGATCAATGATATAACATGCAGTCATTTGTCATTTTAAAAAATTATATGCATATATGTTTCATGTGGTTAGGTAGAGTAGCTTTGGAGGGTGAAAAGAAGCTTATCAGTGTCTAGAATAACCATTTTACACTGTTGTTAGTTACCTTTGGGTCATTTAGTTCTTGCCATTGGTTTAGTTTAATTTGTGATTATGTTGTTGTTATGTGCCATTGAGTCACTTGCGACTCATAGTGACCCTACATACAATAGCCCTAAACCCTGCTCTATCCTGTGCTGATCGCACTGCCTCTGACCCACCCATCCCGATTACCCCAGTCACTGAATCAGTCCACCTCATAGAGGGTCTTCCCCTCCTGTGCCGTCCCTCCACCCTCCTAAGCATGATGTCCCTCTCCAAGGACCTGTCCCTCCTTACAGCATGTCCAAAGTATGTCAGACGAAGCCCCAGAATCCTTGCCTCCAAGGAACTGCCCGGTTTAACACTCTCCAAGATAAATCTGTTTGTTCTCTTGGCAGTCCATGGTACATTCAATACTCTTCTCCAGCACCACAGCTCAAAGACATCAATTCTCCTTCTATCCTCCCTAGTCATTGTCCAACTCTCTGATGCATAACAAGTGATAGCAAAGACCATGGCCTGTATCAGGTGCACCTTAGTCTCCAGAGTGACATAATTGCTCTTCAGTACCCTGGAGAGGTCCTTAACAGCAGACTTTCCCATCTCAATACGTTTTTTTAATTTCCTACTACTGGTGCCAAGCAGACTAAAGTTATTAACAATTTCAATCTCTTCACCATCCATCCTGATGCTGCCAGTTGGTCCAGTGGTCAGAATCTTTGTCTTCTTGACATTGAGCCTCAATCCATACTGAGGGCTGCAGTCCTTGACCCTCTGCAGTAAGCATTTCAGGTCCTCCTCAGTTTCAGCAAGCAGTGTTGTGTCATCTGCATAACGCAGATTGTTCATAGATCTTCCACCAATCCTGGCACCACACTTCTTCTCCTCATAGAGCTCAACCTCCTGGATAATCTGTTCTGCATACAGGTTGAAAAGTATGGAAATAGGACACATCCCTGGCATACGCCTTTCCCTTTATTGAACCATGCAGTGTTTCCTTGCTCTGTTCTGACGACTGCCTCTTGGTCCTAGTATAGGTTTCACATTAGAACAATCAAGTGTTCTGGGATTCTCAGTCAGCCACAGTTTGTTATGATAGTGATATATTATTTACTGTAATCACAAATTAAACTAGTGTTAATGAAGAAAGTGGGAAATTTCATGCATAAAAAGCCACAAGGAAAAAAGTATGACATTTGAGGGTCAGATAGTTTTTATCTGAATAAGTGGACTATACACAGACATTGTCTACATCAGTATAGACATTAAGTGTCAGATAATCAGAGTTCTGTCTACTGGCAGTAACACAGAGGTTGGCACATAGCCTTCTTTAAATCAGTTTATTTATTTATGGGGAAGTAGACAAAAAAGCATGTTTTTAAAAAGATGGTTGTAGTAGAGAATAAGGGAAATTACCAGTCATTGAATGGTAATCAGGAGGTGCATCTGTAGAAACTGCGTGATTTGACAAGAGAGAACATGAATAAATTGCAGCAGAATGAAGTCTGGCTCTCTGAACAGATCTGCAGCCTCCAAGGACTCATTTCAGAACTGGAGAAGATGTGTAATGAACCCGCCTTGCCTTTGCTCCAGGTAAGACTCTGGAAAAACCTCCCGCTAAGATTACACACAACTACACACGTATATACATAATGTGTATATATCTCCAGTGTTCTTCAACCATATTTTAAGTTTGGAGCTGCTTTCCACTCACCAAAAAGAATGAATTGTAATGCAGAGCTGCTTCATCATGTGTTTTCTTACTTTAAAATTATTACTGAGAAATTTGAATTGAGATGTCTCTCAGTTGGCTAAATTATGATATATCCATGCAATGCAATATTTCTACAATCATAAAAAAGGAATAGAGCTGCTTTATAGGTACTAAAATCGTATCTTAATAATATCTCAATAAATGAATAAAGAAAAATGTAGCTTTTCTTAGTGAAGAATATGTATGCAAATACGTGATTAGAGAACTCTAGTTACTTAGTGGTAAGAAATTACACTATCACCCCAAAGCCTTGTGGTTCAGATCCACCAGTTCCATGAGAGAAAGATGGACAGTTTCCTCCGTGCTATTTACTGCCTCTGAAAACCCACTGGAGAGGCAGCTATGGATCGGTTCCGACACAACAGTACACAACGTAGCACAACATATGTGATTAACATTCATAGATTGTCTCTGGTGAGATAAACATGTTATTATCAGCGATAGCCTTAAAAATCAAGGAGAAAGAGTTGTTTTTATATACTGACCTTTTAAAATTTTGTACAGTGACATGCATAGCCTTTTCAGAGAGTACATTAGTCCCTTAAGAATTCATATCCCTCTGCCAGACTTGTATTGACAAAACCTTAGAAATAAATTTCGTTCTAGAGCCAACCCTAGTTCTAGGAAGTGCATGTAGGGATAATCCAATTCCTGACCTTTCTCTTAATTTTCCATCCTAACCTTAGCAGATACTTTTGTTTGCTCAACTCTGGGTCACCCAGCAGCTCTATAGTGTGACAGGGTTCTGACCTTCTCTGAGTTTATAAAAAAGAAAGGTGATCAGTCAACAGCCTAATATGTATTCCTATAGGCAGAGCTCAGCATCCTTCTACTCTCCAGCCTTTTTACCAATTCTAACACCTGCCATCCCTGCCAAAGCTATATGTACTTCTCTTTTGGGTTTGTTAGTTCCATTGCAATGGCCAGACAGAACTTGGACAATACTCACAATTATGGGATTTTTAGGGAAATAATAGATTCGAATTCAGGATCAGAAACAACTCAGGACTTAGTTTTTTGATCAGGACATCCTCTTCACAGCGATGACCACGGATAGTCCTCTCTCTGACCCTTGTGCCCTCAGCTCCTGGACTCACTAGGGCTGGCCTGACCTGGCAAGAAACAAAGCTCTTCAGCTCTGCTGTTAAAAACCCAGAGGCACTCCACTCTGTCAGCAAGCCTCTGTCTGCCCAAAGCCTTGAGTTGGGAAGCCCACTACACAATGTACTGCCAATTCCCTGCCTTTTCCCTGGTTCTGTTGCCACCCTTTCTCTACTGGTATTTCTAGTTGGTTCTGTTTTAATAGCTCCCTTTTTCTGCCTCCTGGGTATAGGAGATTTGGCTCATTTTAAAAGGATGGCAAAGCTGTGAACAGGCCACTAATCGGAATTCTGTGCACCTTATTCCGCACATCATAATCTTCCATTGGCTCCTTGGGAGAAAGAGGGGAAGTCTCCTCCCATTAATTTACAGCCTCAGAAACTCACTGGGAGGTTAAACTATAAATTGGTTCTAACTTAAAACAATGAGGAATGTCAGCAGTGTGCTGAGTTTGAGTAATACCGTAAGTGGGCCACAAGTCAGTACGTTATTTACAGAGTTCTACCCAATTAAGTAGCTTACAGCACTAGACCAGCAGAAACCCAAAATAACATCCTGATGTCAAGTCAGTTCTGCTTAATTGGGTTTCTCAGAGGAATGCCACTCCTCTCATTGGTGGGTTTAAACTGATAACCTTTTGCTTAGCAGCGGCATAACATATAAGAGTGGCTTCTGCATCAGCATAAGAAGCAAACATTGATTTTGTTCTTAAAAAAATTATCATGCAGTGATTTACCCGTTGGCCTTGAGTAGACTCTGACACACCAACTCTAAAGGATTTCCAAAGCTATAATCTTTATAGAAGAAAATTCTCAAATGAATCACTCATAGAGCAGCTGGTGAGTTTGAACCAGGAGCCTCTGGAAAGCAGTTTAGTACATAACCACTTAACCACCAGATGTCTTTATTTATTTATTTTTTTTAATATGTATTTTTTTTTTTATTTTATGATTTTATTTTTTCACAGTCGGGAGACTAGAGTCTATGTAAAAAGTTCCTCACAACCAGACTCCTGGCTGCCCTAGGGATCCCTTCCTTTGTGACAGCGTAATCCCAGCTTCTGCTTCCATCCTCACATGGGTGTTCTTTCCTTGATTTTGGGGCATTTTTGAGATTTTTCTCTATTTCCTATCACCTATTAGTAATTGAGTCTCTCTCTTTTTTTCTTTAGAATGCAAAATGCTGTTTGGAAAGGTAAGTTCATTTTGAAGACATTTGACACAGAATTGGAATATGATGTGGGGAGCATATAAGGGAGGGTTGTTGAGACAAGGATCAGATCTGTTTCTACTTGATGAAATCTGTTCTCTAAATTGAAAGGTCTGGAGACTGAGCAGGTAACGTCTGTTGTCTCCTTGGTTTATAGGAGTGAGTCACTACTGCTTCGATGTGTGAAGCCTGCCTATGTCAAGGAACTGACTATATCTCAGACAACAGGAATGAGCACAATGCTAAGAACTTTCCAGAGTAAGTTGATGCATATCCATGATTATAGGGAACTGCCAATCTAGTTTATACTGGAGATTTGAATGTCTATCCTACCAATTAAGTTAAATAAATTTCAGATATTTTAAAAATTTTTAAAGATTGAAGATCTTAATTTGCCACCTAAAATGATTTAGAGATTAAATAAAAAGCAGTTTTAGAAACTACAAGAAAATACCATGTGAAGTTATATGGAGAAATAAGCCCTGGTGACATGTAAGTTGAAGGTTTGACTGCTAACTGAAAGCTTGGTGATTGAAACTCGTCAGCTACTCCATCCGAGACAGCTTTGGAAACACAATGAAGCACTTCTTCTCTATCCTGTAGGGTAAATCAAAAGAGTTGATGGCAACATATTTTTAGTAATGAGAGGATTTTTTGTTCAAATTTTTGACCAATTTTCCCCACTTAATGAGCATAATTTTAGACAGATTCCACCTCTTAAAAAATTTGTTTCTAGGAAACAATTTTCCTTTGACATAAAACAAAAATTTATATCTCCTGCTCGTATAGTTTTGTTTTTTCCAGAATATCCTAATAGTCAAATTAGAGTAATAGCCTTTTGACTTTGACTTCCTTACTTAAAAGTAAGGCATTGGAGGTAACACTCAAAGTGTTGCGTTTTTTATGGCTGTATTTCATTGTATAAATACTGCGTATTATAATTTATCCCTTACAATCTGATGCTCACTTGGATCATTGCCAGCTTTGTGCTAACCATTTACTAGTAGATTCATTGTAGATAAATGTCTCTGTCTCTAAGTTAAATGCCCGGTGGAGGAGTAATTGAGGGAAGAGTGAGGGAAGGTGGCCAAACCTCTTTTTCCAAACTAAATGTATCAATTTACATTCTCACCAGTAATGTGTAAATATTTTTTATATCCTGATCAGGATTGAGTCCTGTAAACTTTATTGGGTCTGACCTTATATTTATATAGCAGCAATTCATCTTCAGTTTAACTTTTGTTTCTCAGGTGACTAGTGAATTTGAACATATTTTCATGTACATATCCATTTGTGGTGTCTCCCATGAAGCTGTGTCTTTAATGAAGGTTTTGTGTAGATCTTTGCACATTATCATAGTTATCTAGTGCTGTTGTTGCAGAAATATCACAAGAGGATGGCTCTCGCTAACAAATTTATCATCTCACAGTTTAAGGAGATACCTGGGGTTCTTAGCTATAGGACAGATATCTATTGACTCCTTGTCTGTTTTCAGAGTCTGTATGTCTCACAACCTTGGGAGATCTCCATAGGTCTTAGCATCAGACTTCGTCTGGGTCTAGGAGATTCTAAGTGCTGAGATTCCAAGTCCAGAAGACTCCTGACTCTGCTTTTTTTTTTTTTTACGTTTAACTTGTTTGCCATCGAATCGGATCCAACTAGCACAGGAGCAGATTGCCCCATCTTCTCCAGTGGAGCATCTGGTGGATTTGAACCATGCACAGTCAGGATTGCAGCGCAGCTTCCTGCCACTAGGCCACCAGAGGTCTCTGTGACTCGTCTTAATGATACTGAGGTCCCTTCCTCTGGTCACTTCTCTTTTTATATCTTGTAAGACAGAGATGATGCAAGCCACACCAGATCAACGATATGCCCTGAGTTAGGGTGTTGTATCCCTCTCTAATCCCCTTATACCTGACTGATCCCATCAAATGACAACCTAGGGGATGATTATTGTTGTTGTGTTCTGCCAAGTTGTAACTGACCCATAGCTGACCCTCCAGCAGGTTTTCAGAGAGAGTTAGTTACACAGGAGCAAACTGCCCATTTTTCTCTAGCAAAGCAGCCGGTGGATTCAAACGATGTGCCTTTGGGATTTAAGTGCAGCCAACTGAGAATCAGAGCCCAGCCAAATTAATCTACATTTTGAGGCACCCAATCCAATCCACCTTTTGTCTTCACCAGAATTTATGTCTTTGCTACATTTAAAACACCTTTTACCCATCATATCATTCCAAAAATCTTAAATCAACACCGAAGTATAAATTCTGGCATAGAAGTCCTCTTCACAGTAAATCTAGAATAGAAATTGTCTGCTTCCAGACTAGAGTGGTAGAGAGGCAAAAAGTAGACATTTCCATTACAAATATGAGACATTGCAAGGAAAGAAGGAATAATTGGCGCTAGGCAAATAAAAAACTCAGGAGAACAATTTACACTGGCTCTCAAAAATTGAAAATAATCCTCTGTTCTCTGAGGCAATGTAGACAGCAGTGTGTCTGCCTTCTATACTTGTTGGCCATGCTGTCTGGATTCTGAGTGGAAGCCCCTCAGCCCTAGACTTCATTACCATCTCCTTGCCCACTAGGAGGGCACTTTCGTGGTCTAGTGGTAAGAATCTGTGCCACAGTCCCAATGGCACATGGTTTGAATCTACCAGCTGCTCCATGGGAGAATAGGCATGTTCCTCTTGTACGTTTTACTGCCTCTGAAAACCCACTAGAGTGTCAACTAAGGGTCAGTTCCGACTCAGTGGCACACAACGACAGACCCCCTGGAATGTCAGCTCCACTCTTTTAGTTTTAGGCAGCCTCAGCCTTCTAGTCCATCTGAGTGGCGACCCTACCTTCTAGGCCCCAGCAGGCCTAATGTTGTCTTGTCCTTTCACATTTGAACCCTATTTCCTTAGTTTTAGACAGTGACTCTGGCTTCATGTAAACTACTCTTTTAATCTATCATATCAGTCCAAAATTCTTAACTCCAAGTGCAGATTCTGGGGCAAGAGTCTCTTCATTTGTAAATATGGAATACAAGTTAAGTGTGAACTCATTTGTGAGCCCCATCATCACACTCTGGAACCAAGTTGGTGACATTCAGTTTTTTTGGAAACAGGACTTTTTTAGACCCTGTCCTTTGAGTAATCTCCGTTTTCTTTGCCCTTTATATCTTTTACTTAACACTTTCTGGTTACTCGGCATCTTAGCCCTCAGGCCTCTTGTGCCCCTTACCTCTGCCCTGCCTGGTCAAGAGCTAGAAAGCTCTTTAGCTCTACCAGTAAGTGCCCAGAGGCATCCACTCTTTCTGTAAGCCTTGCCCCAAGGGCACTCATCTCTCTCATTACTTTCATCTGCTAGCTGAGTTCCAATGGCAAGTCCCTAGAGACACCTGTTCTATCTGAAAACTTCCTGCCCATGGTCACTTCTCACTCTGTGAGTTGGGTCTCATATTGATTTTGCCACCATTCCTCTGCTGTTGTGCTTCCTCTTGCTGTCTGCCATTTCTAGGGTTATAGCTCTCTTCGCTTCTTTTTTAAGTCCTCAACAAGATTACCTTTGATTTCCATAATTCTACCAAGTAAGACTAAACTTCTGTAGTTAGCTACCTTATAATAATTTTTAATTAATTTTTTTTTTATTTCTAAATAATCTCCTTGGTGTTTGGTGTGGTTTTTTGTTTGTTTGTTTTGTCAAATTGACATGATCTTGAATTTTTAAGTTTCTATCATAGGAAGCTCTGGTGGCCTAGTGGTAAGAAACTGTGCTGCAATCCCAAAGGCACAAGGTTCAAATCCACTAGCCTCTCTGCAGGAGGTGAATGGGCAGTCTCCTCCTGTGTGATTTACTGCCTCTTGAAAACCCACTGGTAGGTCAGTGATGGGTCAGTTCTGATATGACAGCACACAACAACAATATATCCTATCATAATCTCTTAAAGCTTTTCTTTTTTTCTTCAAAATTAAAAAAAAAATATTTTTGTCTGTGCCTGACAATTTAAATATCTTAAAGTTCTGGTAGTTTAGTAGTACGAAACTGCATTGCAATCCTGAAGGTGTGCGGTTTGAATCGACCAGCTGTTCTACCTTAGAAGGGTGGGCAGTCTCCTCCCATGTGTTTCACTTCTATGAAAACCCACTGGAGGGTCAGCTATGAGTCATTTCTGACTCACTGGTACTCAATAACAACAACAGACCTATTTCTGAAGTCTTATTCAGTAATACTTATTTTGTGGGCATGTTTAATGATTTTTGATAGTAAACTTCGCTTTTATTTTGGATATTCATTTAAACATTCTTTGAGAACAGGAATGAAGATGTATATTTTTCCTGAGAAAAATAGCATTTGTTTCTGCTCATCTTAGGAAATATTAAGTCTGAGACACAGTGAAATTTTAAAAGGTTTATGTCTTTGAGAATGCTCTAGTAATGATTTTAATTGGGCTATAAATTCAGAGATTTAAATTGATTTGGAAATAGAACTTGGTACTGGTGTAAATATTAGAGAAAATAAGAAGTAAAAGATGACTCCAGGTTTATGACTTTATCTATAGTGACTAGACTGCCACTAAGTGAGAAATAAAGAAAGGGTAAAGGGTAGGTTTGAAATTACTTTTTTAAACATAAACCTCAAACCAAATCACTGCCATTGAGATGATTCCATTTCCTGGCAAAACCTCTAATGGGTTTCCAATGTTGTAAGTCTTTAATGGAGGAGACTCACAGTGGCTAATGGGTTTGCGCTGGTGACCTTTTGACTCACATCTCAGTATTTACTATACTGTTAAGGGCTTCTAGTTAGGCTTTGTTGTTGTCAGGTACTGTCAACTCAGAACCAACCCATAGCGGGTCCTTCCGAGGGTTTTCAGAGGCAGTAAAGAGTACAGAAGGAGATTATCCATCCTTCTGTGGAGCAGCTGGTGGATTTGAACCATGTGCCTTTGGTATTGCAGTGGAACCTCTAAGCTCTAGGCCACCAGAGATCCCTAGTTAGGCTAGCGTACCTGTTTTAAATTTTTGTGTAGCAGCCATGTGGCCATTTGCAAATTGTGTTATGAGTAAGTCATAAATGTTAGTGGTGTTGTTATGTAACATTGAGTCAAAACTGACTCATAACAGACCCTCCAGCAGGTTTTAATAGGCAATAAATCACTCTAGAGCTGATTGTCCATCTTTCTCCTCTGGATTTGAACTGTATACCTTTGGTTTGGTGGTGCAGTTCCTTACCACTAAACCATCAGAGGCTAGATGAGATTGTCTAGGGAAAGAAAGAGGACAAGGACCAAGCATCAGGATATTATAATATGTAGAGATTGAACAAAAAGAGGTAAGAGGGAAAATGCAGATAAGAAGAAAGCCACTGTTACCAAATTGGCAGAGAAGAGTAGTTCAGGAAGGCACTATCTCATCCACTAGTTGACTCCCAAAAGATGTATTCCAAACCCACTGGAGGGTCAGCTATTAATAATTAAGACTTAACAGTACATACAACAATGTAGGTAAAAAGGGCGAGGGCACATGTGGAGCACCGTGTCTGACCTCTAGCAATTTTACAGGGGTAACCCATCCCCATCAACACAAAACCAATTCCCATGAGGTCAGACATGTTCCCCCTGCCCTCCCCACGTGCATACCTCTTCCCACTCATTTCATTACTCATCATACTGCTTTGGTGAGAGAGCCTTAAATCTGATGTGGTTGCTCACAGACCACACAGAACCATAATGAAGAAGTCAAAAGGTTAGAATTCAGATTAATAACAGAATACAGTCAAGATAGCAACAAAGTTCTCAGTCCTGTCAATATTGGCTTTCCCACCCCAAAAATTCCACCTACTCGGTTCTCCTGTTTTTTGGCTATGGCTGCTGCTGCCATTCCCAAGTGTGTTCTAAATTTTTCTGCCTCCTGTTGACCAGGGTCTCTTTCCTTTTCTCTGGCTGGAGTGGACTCCCATTCTTCTCATTCTAGCTATTCAATTTATTGGTAAGACCAGCCAGTCTTCTTGGAGCTTGTTGAGACCAGCCAGTCTCCTTGTGGAATGGTAGATACTCAGTCTCTTGTGGATAAGCTAACATCCCCCATTCACATATTACTGCTATAGCAAAGTCAAGTAATGGCTGGAAAAGTCATACTGAAAGATGAATTCCATAATGTAAGAAAGCTGCGTCAAGCTTCCTTTCTGTTCTCATCTTTATTCTTTGAATGATCCTCCACAAATACTCTAGCCTCCATTAATAGGTTCTGTTTTGAACTACTCAGCATAGTAGTTTGCCTATAACAATTTCTTGGCATCAAAATAAAACTCAGGTGATACTAAGTTGAGAAGAATAATTCTTAGAAGAACTATGACCATATTAGGAGACTGTTGCTTCTACTGTTCAGGCTTGGAGAAGATCTTTCCCCTGCTTTTATTTTTTAAAATAACTTATTTATATTACTTTTCCTTCAATCATCCATAGGCATTTTGTTTTATAACATTAATTACAACTCCCTGAAACCCACAGTGTCCCTTTTCAGCAGGAAGTAGCTAAGAGAATACGCCATCCCCTTTCCCTTATGAATCAGGGTGAAGTCTCTCTCAGGGAGGAGTGATAGGGAATGGCAAAGGACACACTGACAAAGGAGATTAAACAGAACTGGCTTTGACAA